AAGAACTCAGATGATGAGAAGCAGCTTCTGTATGAGTCTGATTTCTCCTGCCTGGCCTGGGTGACCACAGTGGGTCCCATGATGTTTACACTGATGGTACAGTCAACAATCAGCATTTACCTCTGTTTACAGTCTTCTCATTGTGTTTTACTGGGCTCTTAGTTTTTGTTTCTTTCCTCCCTCCCTTCCCTCCTTCCTACCTCCCTTCCTTCTGTATTTAGTTTTTGCTTCCCCTTCCTTCCTTCCTTCCTTCCTTCCTTCTTTCCTTCCTACCCCCCCCCCCATATACTTTGCTCCTTTCCTTAAGGCAAATTAGAATGTGATGTGCAAACAAATCTGTCTGGCACTTAAGGAAGATCTCAAACCGCACTCCCTTTCTTCCCCTACCCCAAGAATTCACTGCCCCTGGTTCAAGTTCAGCTTAACCCAGAAATCTGTGATGTGACATGAGGGATGAGAATTCCCAGAACTGTTAGTAGTGCTGGTCTTGGGTAAAAAACATCCCTTACCAGTAAGACATAGGCTACATTTAAAATAATTTCTGAGGGAAGGAGTGCTACGTACCTCTTGTCATATACATATGTAAAGATAATTGAAAACCCTAGGGTACACCCTTTTCAAATGGAGAGTTTATCGTTTCCAAGGGGAGGAGGGCAGGGGAGGAGTAACCGAGACCTTTCCTGTCTGTCTTCCAATCGCGATAGCTCGTTTTGGCTGTGAATTTCCCCCCTCCCCCTCTCCTCCCCTCCCCTCCCCCTCCCGTTAATTAAATAAACGCTGGAAGCATGTGTTTACCGCACACGACTCGGCCCTTGGGGAACTCTTTTTCTGCGACGCTCCTACTCTTAAAATCCTCAACCCACAGAGGACTGAAGAGCTAACATCATGAGTTTCCAGTTCCTACGGGTGAGAAAAGAGGTGTCTGGGTGGAGGGCAGAGGCGACTCCTGCGGCTGGCAGCAAGGAGAGGCTGCGGGAGGACTCTGCAAAGGGCGAGGGGTGGCGCTGGGTGGGACGGGCGCCTGGGGCGTGCAGGGTGGCTCCTGGGCGCTGCCCGGGCTGCCTGTCGCCCAGTTCTGGCGCAGGAGGACGAGTTCGCGCAGCGTCTGGCGACATTGGCCTGCTCCACGCCTGGCGGCGACCAAGATCTGAGAGTTAATGCCTCCAGGCTCAGCCTGCCTGGAAGTGTATGGTGACCCCTGGCGCGGAGCGGAGAAGGCCTCCGGGGACCCGAGGCTCCTGCCTTAGTCCTCGGGCCTGCGCTAGGAGCGGTTAGGGTGCGCACGGATGGCCTCGGGGATGTTAGTGGAGAGGTGACAGGAGTCTACCATCCCGCGGTCAAGCGCTCAAGGCCTCCGGCGGGCCGGGGTTTCCCGGGGCAACGCAGGTGAGATTCTGGCTTGTCTCTAACGGGTCCCCTAGAACCGCTAAGAAGTTGGCCTTAAACCCTAGGCACCTTTGCGGCTTTCAGATAGTTGGGCGACTAAAAATTCACTTTTGTTTGCTGTAGAATGGGACAGGTGGCTGTCAGGTTAGAGACTGTGCCCACGAATTCTCCATTGGGCGAGCGCTGTGCCAGTGAGCTCAGGGGCTGACGTGGTCACGAGCCCTCCTCAGAAGCCTGGGAACCTGTGAGCCCCTCGGCTTCGCGCCTCACTTTGTCTGTTTGAAAAAAAAGCTTCTAAAGGAAGAGCACGCGGCCTGATGCGAGCGCAAAGAAGCGAGCTTGGTAAACCGCGCCTGGTCGGACTGATACCAGAGGCGTCTCTGCTGCGGCCGTTTTGCGCACTATTAAAAAATCTGTTGTTAACGACGATCATTTTTGTAATTACTTCGGAGTGGCTGTGACTTGATGCCTGTGGTGCCCCAGGGCGTGCCCCTGACTGGACTTAGTTCTGGGGGCCCTTTGACGGAATGTCGGTCCAGTGGGTGCCAGTGCCGCGAAGGGAGCGTGGCGGGCGCGAATACCCCCTCCTGCTGGATTTGCTGCAGGCTCCGGCCTTTCCACCCTGCTTTATCCTGGCGTGCCTGCAGTGTACTGAGGTCCCTACCAGCACTCACGTTGTCCCGAGGGGCGGGACAAACGCCCGGCGCGTGGCGCGGAGTCTGCGAAGGCGCTCCGGGGCCTCCGCCTTCTGTTCCGGCGCCTCTACCTTCTGCTCGGGCGCCCCCTCCCTGGGGTGGGAAGAGGAGTCGCAGATCTGCCCGAATCCAGCTCTACCCGCCTGGCCGCCTTTTTCGATCTGGGGTGGGGGCAGGGGCGGCGGATGACTCAGGCCTGGGGCCCGGAGCCCTGTTTTCCAAAGCCTGCCCGCGTCTCTTTGGAAGCGGGGCGCTGTCGGGGCGCTCCTGTCTTTGCAGACGCCTGGCCGCCTCTTTCCGTGGTTTCTTAAGGGCGTGGGTCCAGGGTTTCCAGAGTATGTGAGTTTAGACTGCCTAGGGGGCGGTAGAGGGGAGACCCCGACAATCCTCCACCCCCCTCTCCAGGCAGCTGCGAGGCCTCCAGGGTTCCCGAGGGGTCCCCTTACGCCAACGCCCGCTGTCTTGAGCGCGGCCACGCAGTCCGCGTCTTCACGTGGACAAGGGGCGGGGACGTTGGATCGAGGCTGTGTTGGATGCTGGAGTCATCGGTTCCCTGCTCTCAGCTGAGCAGAAAAATTGAAAAGAAGGGTTGAGGCTTCCGCCACCCTGACAAGGGCTTGCGCGTGGCTGGGTGACGGCCCTGAGGCCGAGAGTCTGTGTATTCGGGAAGGGTCTTCCGTGCCAAGACTGAGGATTTGCTCTAGCCGCCTTCCGTACAGAGGGCGCGGAGGTTGCGCTCCTATTCTGGCGCTTACCCATTGGAGAGCGGGCAGCGCCGGGGTCAGGGAAGCTTCTTGGGAATGAATGGCCTTTGCCAAGAGGTTCCGGATCCTCTGGGTCCTTTGGGGCCAGGGAATGGCGCTGCGGGAGCCCTCGATGCCCATCTGCTCCCTTCGCCTCCTGCGTAGACGCTCGCTGACGGGGAGGCATCTCAGTTCCTTCGAGCCGCTTTGGCGAGTGTTGCTGCAGGAAGGGAGAGCCAGGGCCTGGGATGAAGGATGAGCTCCTTCTTGCCCATTCCGGGCCCCAGCGTGCTAGGGGTAAAGTTGCCAGCACAGACGAGACAACTTGTTCAAGCTTCACCTCAGACTGGGTCAGAGAATAAAACTGAGGGCTAGAAGGCCCAGAATGCCGGAGAGCCCAACGGCATCCCTCAGGGAGTCCCAGGCGCCCAAAGGAGGCGCCGCAGCCATCTTCTGGCGAGCCTAGGACCCCATCTTCTTGGATCCGGCCCGCGGGCCTGGGTTGGAGTTTTGGTTCTGGCAGGTGTCTCCCTCTCCCGCCGCTAATATCAGGAGGGCCGCTTCTGCGGTGACTATTTTACACCAGACGCCTGTTTTGGGACCGAAGTGTCAGGATCCTGTGTGTATTATATGCACTGTTCTCCTTAGTGCAAAGCCCCGCAGACATGCGTGGCCGAAAAGTTTCAGCGGTTTCAACTTCCAGATTTTGTTCTCGCATCTGGTCGGAAAATCACCTCAGATTTGGCTGCTATTTAAGGCCGGGGGAAAGTTTCCCTTGGAGGACGCCTATTATTATTATTTGATTTTAGGCCCACCTGGATCTAAATAAATGTTAAAGTTTAAACGAACCCGAGAAGGAACAGCGAGGCAGTGGATTGCCACCATTCTGTGGACGGGTGAGTGAGCCCACTCCAGGTGCGGGCACCGTACTCATACGCATTGATGATTGCAAAATCGTATTCAGTATCAAATCGAAATAGTTTCCTCCTCTAACACCCTCGGAATGTTTAAATCCAGCCCAGGGAGCTGGATTTTGGGTGTCCCAACAAAATACGTCCTCGAGAATTAGCGATGTTTTCCCTTACCATGGAAGTGAATTGCTGCATAATAACTGGGCCAAAGAACTTCGTTAGTTTAAATTTTAAAAATTAATATTGCACTTTGCTTTCAAGTTTGGGTGGCAAGAAATGAAGGGGACAGAAGCAGCGTTTGTGTGGAAGGAAGTTTCGTTTTCTGCCTCCACCTGTGGAATCTGGGTGTCTACCTCTCCAGTCGAGGGTTCTCTGCGCGCTCTCTCCCCACTTCCTGCACCTCCTCACCCCCACCTTACCCGTGGCGCTAGGGTTTTATTCCTGCCGGGCGGTTCTTTCCCAGGGTAAGTAGAGGCTTCTGAGTGACCCGCATGCCGGAGGCAGCTGCCAAGCAGGTGCTCCGCGGGGCAGGGCAGGGCAGGGCCGCTGGGCTGGTCCAGGGCGCTCAGTCTACCACCCCCCCCCCCCGCCTGGCCTCAACCAGCCTCGGGAGATGCCGCTTCGGGCGACAGCGACAAGACGCCGCTGTCTGCGACTCCTGGGCTGGTAGAACCCTCTGCTGCCTCTGAGGCCCTTGGGGCAGACTCCCGAGGAGTCCCTTCCTTCTTCCTCCCGGCCGGGAGCAGGACCGTACTGTGCCAAAGGAGGGAACCGGGAGACTCGTGGCGGGTTGGGGCCCCGGCTGCATGATCCCAGCTCAAGCCTTACGTCTCAGCGCGGTAGGTGGGATAGCATGTGTTTTTAGGAGACGGATCTCGGTTGTTGAGGCGCGCCCCAAATGGGCAGTTTCTTAAGTCCTGGTGACTGTCTTGGAAGACGGGGTTCAAGACAGTTTAGGCAAAAGAGGGGTGGGTTTCAGTATTTGGATCCCCTCCCCCAGCTCTGCCAATATCCGGTGTGCGTACGGTGGAGGTGACTGAAGGAGGGCGCGTGGGGGCACCCAGGTCTCGCAGGTCTTTGGCTGTCATCGAGGCACCGCCCACTGACTCTGCTCCTCGCCCCTCGCCGCGTGGGGCTCGGCGCCGCGCCAGGTTCGGGGTGCGGGGCGGAGCTAGGCTGGGACTGGCTGGGGGCCGCTCCGCCCGGCGCTTGGGCCTCCGCGCCAGCCCCCGGGGAGGAGTTATGATAATTTCCTACTCATTAAGGCGCTCCGGTCCCCCGGCTATCGCCGGGACACACGATTCGGGCGCGGCTTTCCCGGTCCACGGCAGCGGTCTCTACACCCGCGGCGCCAGCAGCATCTACGCTGGCAGAGCCGCCGATGTGCGTCCAGTGACCAGGACAGCAAGACCCGCGCGCGGCGGGGGCGGCGGCAGACGCCCGGCCACCGTGACCCCGATTTTGGATTTACCGTTCGGGGGCTGGGGGGAGCCTGGATTTAACTGGCGACTGTTTTGGGGGACGTCGGACGCCATGTTGTGGAAAATAACCGATAATGTCAAGTACGAAGAGGACTGCGAGGTGAGCTGGGGCTCAGGGGTGCAGCCCTGCCCCGCCGAGGACAGTCGGTGAGGCTGGGGGCCGCTGGACCGAGGCCGGGAACGAGGGCACAGGATCCCTGGCCTCTCGGTGGGACGGGATCCACTTCTCTGGACCCCTTCTTAGTCCATTTCTGTGGGGCCCCTGTCCTGTGTAGGGCCTTTTCCTAAGTGGCCTCCCCTCGGGGACGAGGCCTGGAAAGAGAATGGGAGATCCTACCCACACAGCTTACCTATACAGCTTACCTGGCGCTTTCCTAAGCAGCAAACAGCCCTGCTTCCCGTTTTCTCGGAAAAGCGCCCTGTCTGCAACCCTCAGACGTGGCTTTTACGCACGAAGTCTCTGTCCAAAGGGGTCAGATGAGGCTACCTGCCAGCGACACCTTGGCGGACACTCCTCCAAGGCCGGCTTGTCACTTGCCCCGCTAACTCCTCGGGGAAGCACGAAAACAACCGAAGTTTGGCTTTCAAAAGAAGTGGGGGCTGGGGAATTTGTGGAGGGGGGGGCCCAAGGCCAGCTGCGGCCGTAAGCGCTCGCGAGTGCTCCAGCCTGTCGGACAGGTTGAGCTAGAGTTTCGGAGAGTGGGAGGGAGGGAGGCGGCGAGCGGGAAGAGGAAGAAGACGCAGGCGGCGCGAGGCGAGCTCCGGGGCATTGGGAGCGTGGAGCCCGGGCCACGGACTCGCGGGAGCTCACGGCGCCTACGGGGCCTGAAGGGGCTGCCCCAGCCCGCAGGCCCGGGCGCTTCCACCAGGAGGCGACAGCGCCATGTTCCTGCAGGTTCCCGGCTCCCCGAGACCCCTGGGCAGATGGGGATGCATCCTTTAGAAACTAAGTGGGGCCGCCCAGGGGCGAGGGGACGTGCGCGGGCAAGGCTGCCCAATTTCCAGGGTCCTTCATGCCCCCTCTGCGCCCCGATGTGCGAGAACACTGCCCGTGGCCATGCAGGGTGCTCCCACTTCTTACTCCCCTCGGCTGGGCCCTGCCAGCAGGGAGGGCCGCCCTGCGCGCGCGCTCCCTCTCCACTCCCCAGGGCGGCGCGGGGTGGCGGGCCCTGCCTGCGAGCGCCGGCAGCCGGGAGGTCTTTGTCCGGAGGGCGTGGAAGGGAGGGTCCCTGGGGCGGGGAAGGTGCGCACTTCCCGCGCGGCGCGCTCTATCCGCGCCGGCCGCGCTACCTCCTCCGGTAGCTCCTGCGCCATGGGCGGGCTCCGGGAGAGCGCTCTGCCTCAGGCGTCCAGCTCCTGCGACCCGCGCTCCGTCCCTGACCTTTTCTGTCCCGAGACCCAGGGTTCGGGCTTGGCGCCTCCGAGCGCCTCGGGCCTCCGAGCAGCGCTCAGACCTTTGCCGCCCGGCTTTGAGAACTCGTTTCCCCAGGTCTTTCATCACCTCTTCTCCCTCTGCGCACCCTGCTTACAACGAAATCCTCGGGGCACATTGCCCCCGGGTACCTTCTGACCCTGGGCAACTTCCGCGGGGTAGGGTGGGGTTGGTCCCCTGGGGCGCACCGCGCAGCCGAGCGACGCCGGCCAGTTCGCAGTAGCGGGGTTTCGGACTAACGAGGTCTCCTGTTTCATTTTCATTTTTGTTTTTTAAAAACTTACATATTTTTTTCCAGGATCGCCACGACGGGAGCAGCAATGGGAACCCGCGAATACCCCACCTCTCCTCTGCCGGACAGCACCTCTACAGTCCCGCGCCGCCCCTCTCCCACACTGGAGTCGCCGAATACCAGCCGCCACCCTACTTTCCCCCTCCCTACCAGCAGCTGGCCTACTCGCAGTCGGCCGACCCCTACTCGCACCTGGGGGAAGCGTACGCCGCCGCCATCAACCCCCTGCACCAGCCGGCGCCCACCGGCAGCCAGCAGCAGGCCTGGCCCGGCCGCCAGAGCCAGGAGGGAGCGGGGCTGCCCTCGCACCACGGGCGCCCGGCCGGCCTGCTGCCCCACCTCTCTGGGCTGGAGGCGGGTGCGGTGAGCGCCCGCAGGGATGCCTACCGCCGCTCCGACCTGCTGCTGCCCCATGCGCACGCCTTGGATGCCGCGGGCCTGGCTGAAAACCTGGGGCTCCACGACATGGCCCACCAGATGGACGAGGTGCAGGTGAGCGCCGCCGTCTCCTGCCCGGACCAGTTCTCCCTACGGCCATCTGCCCCCACCCCGCACCCCTCTAGGCTCCTCCGAACTTAAAGGGGAATTTTGTCCTTTCTCCTCCAGAACGTTGACGACCAGCACCTGCTGTTGCACGATCAGTCAGTCATTCGAAAAGGTAAGTGGCTAGGTGGCATCGTCTTCCTCTGGTCACACGGTCTGGGCTTGAGAAATTGACTGGCAAGTTTGGGGGTATTTGGCCAACGTGGGACATTTGTGGTAGAAGGGACTGGAGGGGATTCATGGGTTAGATTTTAGGAGTAAGAAGAGGGGATTTCCCTCCGGACTCTTAGGTTTCTCTTAATTTCCGGATTTGTTAGTGCCTAGTTTTTTTCTTGGCAAAATATTACTTCTTGAATTCCAGTGTGTATTTCACAGTGTGAGAGAAAGTCTTCCAGAGCGAGTGAACACTGATTTAATTTGAAATGCTACAACAACAACAAAAAAAATCACAGTCACACCTTGGTTGAGTGGTTGGTTCTGTAACAATTTTAATTGTTAAGTTGTGATTTTACTTTTGATTTCAAATACGTGTATGGAAAACATCCTTAATTCTGACCTGCAAGAAAAGTTCTGAAGCAATTTGGCTTACCAAATAAATAGCTCTAAAAGGAACAGAGCTTAGAGTGAGTGATCTGTCAGAGGGAGCGTTTTCAGATGGGGGAGAAGGGGATTTGGAAAATTGGATTACTTGGTGAGTGAGTGGTTTATGAAATTAAGTTACTTACTGATAGGATTACCATTGTGACTGTTTTGGGAAATGGACTGGTCCTAAATTGAAGGTAGTTATAGTCTGTTACTTGAACTGCTTAAATAGATTAGAGGGAAAAAAATTTTAAAGAAAAACTTAGAAAAGACTAAAAATTTTTAGTAAACTTAAACGTGTTTGTATGATCAAATTTACTGTGATCAGTTGCATTGAAAAGTTTTGGCAAAGAATCTGTGTGAGTCCTATGATTTGGTTGTTCTCGAGTGGGGAAAAATCTCACCGTTTATTTAGCATTGAAGTAGTCTTCTGAAAACAAATCTTCTAATTTAAATAGATTTCAGCAGGGGCTAGGGGAAAAAAAGAAAAAAGAAAAACCCTCCAAGCTTGGGATCTTAACTAATTAACTTCCCAAGCTGTTAAGTTGTGAATGTCAGATTAGATTTGTCTCTGAAGTAGGGGGCTTTTTTAGAAAGACATTTTTAAAAGCCATGGCTGGGCATGGTGACTCACACCTGTAATACCAACACTTTGGGAGGCCAAGGTGGGCAGATCACTTGAGGTCAGGAGTTTGAGACCAGCCTGGCCAACATGTTGAAACCTGGTCTCTACTAAAAATACAAAAATTAGCTGGGCATAATGGTGGGTGCCTGTAATCCTAGCTGCTTGGGAGGCTGTGGCAGGAGACTCACTTCAGCCCGCAGGCAGATGCTGCAGTGAGCTGAGATCTCACCACTGCACTCCAACCTGGGTGCCAGAGTGAGACTCTATTTCAAACAAAACAAAAAAAATCTGCCTGCAGTTGATCAGGGTGTGCAACGATGCTTGTCTAAAGATCACTTTCAGCTTTGCTTAGTGGTTTTGAAAAGGTCTCTCTTGCTCAGAGACAGCTCTTGTAACTGCCAGCTCTGACCTTCATTCACAGGTCCCATTTCCATGACCAAGAACCCTCTGAACCTCCCCTGTCAGAAGGAGCTAGTGGGGGCCGTAATGAACCCCACTGAGGTCTTCTGCTCAGTCCCTGGAAGATTGTCTCTCCTCAGCTCTACTTCTAAATACAAAGTGACAGTGGCTGAAGTGCAGAGGCGATTGTCCCCGCCTGAATGCTTAAATGCCTCATTACTGGGAGGTGTTCTCAGAAGGTACTTGGGGAACAATTCCGGGCATGGTGGTTGGGTAGTTGAAGGTGACATGTATCAGAGGTCCAGGAGGTATTTTTAACATTTATGTGACTTTATGCCTAACACTGAATTCTAATCGGCTTAGAGTTTTTAGTACATTTCTTCTCTTTTAGGAAGTGCCAAATGGAGGAGGAAGTGCTAAAACAGCGCTCACAAAATCTCATTTGGTTAGAATTTGATCCCCACATATGAAGTGATAGCATCTGTATTGAGGGAAGATGGGGAGCACCGTGGGTTTGTTCCCCAGGGAGTTTTTGTGAGGGTGCTGCAGTTTCACAAGTGAAAATGTATCTGCCCCCGTACAATTTGAAATGTTTTGTGATACAAAGTTTGTTGCTAGGAAAGATTGATTTTGTATCTTATGGGGATTAATTAAAGAGTACTCTGCTATCACTTTTCATTAAGGTTCACTGTGATGTAGACAGTCTGGTAGATTTCAGCTTTGACAGCAGCACTTTAGGAGTTTAGAATTAATTTTTAAAGTGTGTTTTTTTTTTTTTGAGAGTAGCCAGAGTCAATTTTTCTTTTTCTTAGAGCCAAATCGAAAAATGGGGGCCGGTCCTTGCGGGAGAAGTTGGACAAGATTGGGTTGAATCTTCCGGCCGGGAGACGGAAAGCCGCTCATGTGACTCTCCTGACATCCTTAGTAGAAGGTCAGTGGGGTTTTGTTTTGGGTTTGTGATGTTTTAAATTTGTGCCTGTGTCTTTAATAACTCTTGTAGAAAAGCTGGAAAACAACTCTTAAAACTTGGTTGTGAATAGAGATGAAAGCAATTGGAATTGTCTTCTAAGTTTATTGCAATGAATCACGGTAATCTTATTGAAAAAGTTAACATTTAAATATCTGGCTGCTCAGGTAGGCTCTTCTGTATTCCCCAGAGAATCAATGTTGGAGAGAAACTGGTTGGTTTTCCTAACCTAAGAAACCACACCCTAGGGGTGTTAGCATGTCCTGTTAATGAACCCGTTTTTGAAAGATAACAGCTGATCATTTGGTACGCTTTGAGTAAAAACTGGTTACTTATTGGTGAGCAGAAGGACTGCTTCTGGTTTTTGTGGCTGTGGTTATTTTGTAGCTGGGAATCGCGATCAGTGAAGAGAACCTCTTGTATACAATACGACTGGCCAGATTCACAATTCTTTTCTTTCCTCCCATCCAGAGAAAAAAGTAATGGAACTCCTGGCCCATACACAAGCTCCTCTCGCCAATCCTGAGATAGTAGGACATGGCATTTCAGTTTCTTGAATGGGGGGCCCTTTTACTCCAGCCTGGACGGTAGCCAAGAATGCAATAAATACAACCTTTAAAAAGAGCTGAAGGGAAAGTAAAATAAATTTTTAAAAACAAAACAAAGCACGTTGTTACTGCTCCCAGGAAGAGTTGGGCGCTGAGAAAGGCTTAGGGCGCTCACTATGGGCAGGCGAGGCCAAGGAGAAGCGGGCTTCCCGGAGCAGTACCCTCTTTTGAAGACTTAATTTCCTTGCTCTGATGGCGTGATTGCCGTGCTCAAAGAGACTTGGCAGAGTCCCTGCTCTACCTTTTACGAGTGCCTTTGGAGGTCAGGGCAGGAGAAAGGAGCTGCCTGTCTGAGAACAGCTGGCCTGCCTGGAGAATCGCGGTTCTGCTGGGGTTTCTTGGTAGCCAGGCAGGGTGATTGAATAAGAAAGTGTGTTCCAGAATAATAGCTCTCCAAGGCTGCTTCAGTCAACCCGGGGGGCCCCTCTACCATCTGGGTTTTTGTAAAGCTCGCCAGTGCTGCACCCTGGAGCCGGGGAAGGGCACCTCCAGGATGGGAGAAAACTCCCTTGGTGTCTCCCTCTGCTCTTCACTGACTCGGACAGGGGAAGGGTGCTCCAAGTTGGTAGTTAGGAAACACACCCCTTCTGTCGTTTTTAAAAGAAACATTCTGGAGATCCTGCCCCCTTCTCTTAAGAGGGCACTATTAGAAAGAAAGGAAGGAGAAAGTAAGGTGTCAGACAGTTGTCTCTGTTTTGTAGAGAAGTGACCAGTTTGCTTTGGTCAAACATGTTTATAGCCCTTACATTTTCCTGCTTCCCTCAAACGATACTACTTAATATGAAGAGAAAACGTGGGTATGTTTGATTATCTGCTGAGCCGTTGACTGGTCAACATTTTTCAAGTTTACTCATCTCTGTATCCATGGGGCATTGGCTGGAGGACCCACGGCAAAACCTGAGGCTGTTCAAAATGTCACATTTGCATATAATCTACATACATCCTTTGCTGTAGTTTAAATCATCTCTGCATCACTTACTTCTAATGCCTAATACTGTGTAAATGCTATGTAAATAGTTGCTATATTGTATACCTCAGGGAATAATCACAAAAGTCTGTATATGTTCAGTACAGACACTACCATTCATTTTTCCCCCCTGAATATTTTCAATCTGGGGATGAATACAGATTTGGAACCCACAGATACAGAGGGCTGACGACTGTGCAGTTAAATGTTTCAGGGTCTAACCCAGGAATAAGTGTAAAGAATAGAAAAAAAGCTTCAGGGTCTTTGTTGCTCAAATTGTGTGCCCTCCACCCTCTATTCTAGGGGTAGAGGACCTACTGAGAATCCCTAGAAAGTTCTACCTACCAGCTGAGTTGTCTGCCCTGTATATGGTTTCATTCTTGCATGCAATGTGACTGCTAGACAGTGAACGCCAGAAAGAGAGGTAAAGGGGGCCGTGTGCAGTGGCTCATGCCTCTAATTGCTAGTGCGAGCCATCTCTTGAGACCAGGAGTTCAAGACTGGCCTGGCCAATGTGGCAAAACCCTGTATCTACTAAAAACACAAGAAGTAGCTGGGCATGGTGGTGCATGCCTGTCATCCCAGGTATTCCGGAGGCTGAGGCAGGAGAATTGCTTGAATCCTGGTGGTGGCGGTTGCAGTGAGGTCCGGTCACTGCACTCCAGCCTGGGTGACAGAGCGAGACTTAAAAAAAAAAAAAAAAAAAAAAAAAAAATAGGAGACAGGAAAAGGCCAGTTTGGCCTCATTGATCACAGCCATCCTAAAACCTGTTGCTGATTATTCTAGGGGAAGCTGTTCATTTGGCTAGGGACTTTGCCTACGTCTGTGAAGCCGAATTTCCTAGTAAACCAGTGGCAGAATATTTAACCAGGCCTCATCTGGGAGGACGAAATGAGATGGCAACTAGGAAGAATATGCTACTGGCAGCCCAGTAAGTATCTGAACTTGAATTTAATGATGACTCAATGCTCCAGACCTTGAGATTCAGAGGATTCCCCCTCCACAGTCCCGATGGCTCAACAAAGAAATAGTCTTGAAATAAATTGGGGCGTAGCAAAAGAAAATGGCAAGGAAGCTTCTTTTACAAAGTCAAATCCATTAACTTTTTGTATGATTTAGAAGAGTGCATGACTCAGCCATGAGGACTTTGGAATTGCTTAGTTCTTCAGCTCAAAATAGTTGAGCTGCCCTTTCATTATTGTGTTTGCATATCTTTCAAAATGTGTTGAAAACCCGATTTGTTTTGTCACTTGTCACATCCCGTAAAGAGAGATTGTGTGCCTTCTACCTCCTGATAGCAAGACTTTTGTTTTTAAAATGTAAAGATTAGGGTGAATTTGTAGATGTGAGCAAATTAACTGTCTCAAAAAGGACTTAATGCAGCTGTGGATTTTCTCATAGAAACCAACAGTAAGTTGATTTTAAAATCGTGGTAAATGGAGCAGAACTAGTCAAGCCAGGAAATGGGGTAGAAGAGAGCGCAATGGACCAGGCTGTGTCAAGAGGGAGAGTTTCAGGGGGTTGCTTCATTCTCTGGGTTCCTCAAGGAATTTGTTTATTGGAACCAGCTTGTACCAAGGTAAACT